TTTTTTTTTTTTTTTTTTTTTTTTTTTACAGCTGACACATTTGCTTATTTTCAGATGAAGGTTAATAAATTGTATAAGGTTTTTGTTACAATGTTTACAAATGCTTGAAAGTTCATGCCTAAAAGCTTCCTAAGTAGTATGTGTGCTTTGACGTTTCTCCCTTTTTAGTGGGTGGTAAAGCCCTATTCAGCTGCAGAGTACCAGAATGGGCAAGCTCACTTGAAACATTACTCACAACTTTTTTTTAAACTTTAAAAATTATTTTCAAAGATGGCTACAAAGTCTAATAACTTCACCAGCATAAGCTGAGTAGATCTAATAGGTTAAGGTCAATTCACAGTGTATGAATACATGTTCTTTTTTTATTATTTAATTGATTTAGGTCCAGTGATGACAGTTCTCTTCAGAGGCAGCTGGTTTCTACAGAAAACTCAGTCCAGCATTTAACACCACGTGAAGTCTCATGAAAAGAAAAAGCAGGTTTCTCGATGACTAGCAAAGTGAGTCCTGACTTTACAGTGAATGATGCTCTGTGAAAACAAACTTTGTGAAACTTCATCAAGACCCAAAAGTAGTCTGATGTATAATGAGGGTCGCTCCAACCAGTTACATGGCAGAAAGGATATGCTGCCAACCCTTCTGAGCCCTGTCCCCCTGTGTGTGGAGTGAAGAACATCAAAAATCCCAGCCACAAACATCAGGCCTTTGGGCACTGTTGTCTGGAGATATTAAATAACATTATTCACTTCTGGAGGGGTGCTCTTATACCTCAGTATTACTTCCTCCCATTTTCTGAATTTGCTGTGCATCTGAGATGTTCCAAATGGTCTTAGAAGTTTTAATCATCTTTCCTAATACTGGTTCTACATCTGTCTTTAAATACTAAATAGGTGAACCTACTAATATTTTGTTGGTTTTTTTTAAACAATATATGTACTTTGCCTTTTTTCCTTAATACCTAGTTGACTTTAAACTCCTTTATATAACAAATTATTAACCTTCAGGGGACTTAAATTATCATCAGAATGAGTAGGAAGTCAGCGGTTTTTTGTCAGCAGGAAGTTTCAATTATTCAAGATAATTCAGCATTTTTATTTAAATTTTCTTCAATTTTGTAATGGTTATCCTTCTAAGTAAGTATTCAAATTTCAAATACGATTAGTATTTTAGCAGGAACAAAAAGTATCCAGAATTATAATTGGCTACAAGAAAATATTTTTAAAGGTCAAGTGCAACTCTCTGTTTCTTCAAAATTTAAGATGTATTGCATTATTGTGTTTCATTCTGGGCATTTTGGAGGCAGGAATACCCAACATTTGTCTTCTGCAAGTTTTTTATGCTTTCCATCTCTGCGGTGAAGTATTAAATAGCACAAACTGTTTGAGAGTGTGTTGAATCACTAGTTAGCCTGATGAGCTATCTAGATCAAGTAGAACTTAGAGCTCTCAGGGCGTCTGAGTCATAAGTGACTTCTTTTTCATAATATTGTCCTGAAAATAGTTACATAAAGAACATTATGTTTATATTTTGTCAGTGCGAGTAGAGTGTTCAGCATCCAGGCTAGTGCCATTAAAGAAAGTACTGTGACTTTATTGGCATAATATTGAACATGAAAATCAGAGTTTTGGTCTTAAGTGCAAATAAATTGCTTGGTTTACCCTATAGCAGGGTGCTGGCACCTCACTGTAACTGGCAGTCTGTGTCTAACACAACCTCAGACTAAAATGATATAAATCTGGAGTGTTGCATGTTTGTCAAGAGCTAATGAATGCGATGGACCACAAAGTATTTTTCTTTCTTGGAAGTCTAACTTCTCTTCTGCAAGCAATAAATATAAACAAGCATTGTACGGTTAATGTCTTATTCACACTGGCTGTATTTATTTCTTTGAATTTGGCAGGTTCGTTTATGAGATTGGAAATAACTGTGATATCAAGCATCCGTCTGGATGCAGAGGTCTTTTCACAGAGGATATTCAGCATTGGTAAACGGATTTGCGGATTTGCATGGGGTAAAAATGGAGGCAGAAATAAACTTCTGAAATTGAATCTCGGTCCAGGAATGATGGCTTCTCAGCTGCATACACATGCTTTCAATATCTCCCCAGTAGAGAATAGGAGATTGTGCATAAATGGAACACCATGGATTTGGCATCTCCTAGAAGAATGTGTCGAGAATGCGTGGGAGTATTGGAGCGTTGTCATAGGACTGATTTCCATTGTCTGTTTTCTGTTTGCTGCACTACCGTAAGTTTAAAGTCTTAAGCAGTCCTCAGATTCAAACATGAGTAATCTTGCCTGAAGCCTTTTTCAAAAGCTGCCTTTTTTTTTTTTTTTTTTTTTTTTTTTTTTTTTTATTTTATCTTGGATATGTTTCTCTATCTGCATAATACAGATATAATATGCCAGAGAAGCATGTTGTTCATGTTTGCAACAATATTTAGTGGTTGACAAATGAGCTTGATGTACTGTTCTGTTGTACTGACTTGACACTAATCTCTGCCACTTAGGGCAAATGAGAATAAATCACCTCTTCTCTCTTATCTTCTCCACTCTGAGATGTGTGTGCACGCGCAGGCACACTTGCAGCAGAAGCTGGCTCAGTGTTTATTTAAACCACATGCCATGTCACCAATACTGTTGTGCTGGCTTCTGCCAAAGAAATTTGGATTGAGAGAAGGTCAGAAGCAGCACATGAGTTAGCTCTTTGCTAGTGCTAAATCAGTTGCTGCTTGGTCACTGGCACTGGGTTCAGGTTTCAAATATGTAGGTAGGAGATGACAAAGGAAAAGTAGAAATGCTCCCAGCAGGTGAAAATGCCTGAAACAAAATGGGATTGACTCCAAAGCCTGTCCCCATAAGGGGGATATAATTTACTGAACTAGTAAAAGGGCTATGGAAATCAAGCAAAATAAAACCACTCTTAGTAAGTTGTTGAGCTTCAGAAATATTAGTTGAAAGGGGCTTTGCATAAAAACTGTCATGTTAGTGAGCATGGAATTCATCAAGATATGTCTAATGGGCTTACGTTTGGGATTGCTTCATAGTCCCCATTGTGAATCTGAATAAAAGTTCTCCAATTTAGAGGCATAAGCATAGGTGTCAACTCTCTTAGAAGCTGTGTTCATTCTTAGCCCTTCTATATTAAGTGACAGTGTTTTTCTTATTTTGGTGTTTTAAAAGCTGATATTTACAGCAGATTAATATAAAATGCTTGCGGCATAGTTCTGGTGTCCAGAAAATGATATTTCAATAAAGGCCAGAAAAAAGGAGCACATGCAAGCAGTAATGAGGTTGTGATTTGAGCCTTTTGTTATGCTAGAGTAAGACATGGTGAGCTATAATGATACTGAGTTCTTCTTCAAAAGGTGAGTATTGCTGTGATGGGTCTCTTGTGGTTAGAGTTTTAATCTTTCTTTATTCGGATTTTGAAAAATGTACTTCTGATCTTATTAAACATTTTGCTTACACTATTTTACAATTACTTCTGGAATTTGTGCCAGTCAAATTTACATTGCCTGTCAGAACGGAAGAGTGGATCAAGCACTGTCTTTGGGCTTTCTGCTGTGTTGGATAGCTGGAGATCTTACAAATTTCATAGGCTGCTATTTAACAAATCAACTGCCAATTCAGGTAATCTGTCAATACTCCTACTTTTTGATTTATTCTTTTCAAGCTGTGTCTTTAAACTCTAGGATGACTTAATATTGCACAGTGAAGTATGTGCTGGAAAAGAAGATGGTTTTGTGTTCTGTTCACTGCTCTACCATCCATAAAATAAGTCATAATTTCCCAAATACATACATTGATGCTATCATGTGTTCTTTCACACTTGTAATTAACATTTGGAGAGACGTACTGGGTGTTACTCAATGATGAATGAAGTGAGGAATTTTCAGTTAAGCTTCAGCTTCAAAGTAAGCTTGCAGAGCAAATAGGGCTGGAAGGAAGTTGTGTTGTTTGGCTTGTAATAGATCAAGATGTTTTGGGGTTTCTACTCTTGAAACTTACTTTTGCTTTTTTCTTTTTTTTTTTTTTATTAGGAAAAATATATTAGCAAAGCAATGCTAATTTGAACATGTTAATCTGGCTAATTTGAAAATGTATTTTCTTCATTAAGGGAAGGGTTTCTTTGAAAGAAACAGTAGTTGTCAGCGATACATTAATTGTGCCTGAAACTTTCTTACCTGCTGTTTTTATTTTTTTACTCTTAATTAAAAGAGAAAGAGGTATGTGGCAGCCACCTGCAGAAGTCTTCACAAGCTGGAGATGGACCCCAAGGGTGGACAGAGTTCTCTTCTCTTTCACAACTTAACGTGTGGCGCTAACCGTTCCATCTCCCCATTATGAAAAGGGGAAGAGAGAACATCATTTTTGTCTTATTGAGGGAAGAGGCACTGAGTTAGATTAGTAGCTTCCGAAGTGCTGGAAAACTAGGTGGAGCAGACTTAAGCTTCTGGGCAAGAAGGATTTATCAGTCTGCCCAGGTAGGAATTTTTGCTATGCATCCTGGAAAATGAGCAGCTATTGCGATTGTGTCAGCAAGTCCCTGTTGCATAAGGTTTACACTGTGTTCATCTGCAGCAGCCTCACTTGTTTTGTGCTGGAAATGCTTTTTTTCTTTTTTTTTTTTTTTGGCAGTGCTTTGGTATTTGTCATTCACATTATGAAGCAAAATTTCCATGTAGTTAAATTAAGGTATTTTGAAGTATTTGTATACTGAACAAGCAAATGTGTCTTCTCTTTCAGATTGTCACTGCCATTTTTTATGTTAACATGGATATAATTATGATTTCGCAATTTGTCTACTATAAGCTCAAGAATCAGATGACGAAATGTAAGGTTTTTTCAAAAATTAAAATGTTCTCTATAATATAGCACACTCTTTACCTTGATGCTTTCTGTGGTGGTTAAATAACTTTTTTTTCCAGAGGGATCAAAAAATAAGAGTGCACAAATTCTGGTTGAATTTGTTAGGCCTGTTACTTCATTTCCTCAGGCTCTTGTGAAAATCCTCTTCTCTCTCCTCTCATTATATTTGTAAATATTTTCCATGCAGTACTTTCAGTTTATATAGACAGGAAAAAATGCAGTAGTTTTGTGGAATCTGGTTCCATATTTTAACTTACTTCCTGGTTTTACTATGTACTTAGAGCTATCTAAATATATGTATACGTTGAAAGCAAGCATTATTTCTCTGTGTGGTTTGGTTAGTTTCCTTCATGTTGATTGAAACAGGACTTTATTTGCTTATAGCATAAAATATCTTGACATCTTCGTGCGTTCGGTTTCAATATATATAGTTAAAAAGCATGTTAAAGGGGAATGAAATTACTTGAGTTGTGCTTCATAAAATCCTGGCAGTAGCTGTAGTATTCAGCTGACCAAGGGACTACTGTTCTGGCTGAAATGGAAGACAGAAAGCTCTATTCACATTGTATCAAATCAAAAACATTAACTCATCAATCTCAAAAAAAAAAAAAAAGTATCAAAGAAAATCCATGGTGCAGCAAAGGTAACAAAAAGCTGAAGTAAAACAGATGCCTGCCCAGCAGACTAAATAGGGATAAAGCAGATTCATTCAATATGGAACTGATAATAAACCTGGAGATAGGTCAGTGCTGAAGATGGTTCCTTCCTGCTGCCTACTCTTGAAAACAAACACAGGCTTTTGTAGGTTTTAAGTGCTGGTGCTGGTTTCAGCTCAATGGTTTGCATAGCTGGAGAGGGAGGCATGATACTGTGAATAAAGCCTTAAAAGAGGGCTTTTAATACCCAGTTCTGGAGCAGTTAGCCTAGACAAGTTCATCACTTTTATATCTCAAGTGCAGCCTGTGGTACAGCACTACTAAGTTTGTCTTATTTAGACTACAGGTCTTTGGCTTACTAGTGCTGTACAGCAGTTTGTTCCACAGGTAACAGTGACTGCAGGACTTTGCCAGCCTCTTGTAGATACAGAAGGTAGCACAGCTCCAGTGTTCTGTAGGATTGTCTGCTGTCTTTAAGTTGTCTTGTAGATGTCTATGGAGACTTGCTAGATGGAGTCCGTGTCTTTGAATATGTGAGTCTTGGTAAGGTTTGATATCTAACCAACCATGGACATGGAGACTGGTCCAGCAGAGCACTTAGATTACATATATATCTTAGAGATATTTTTGTTAATTTATTTTTCAAATATCCTTGCTTTTGCAGTTTTAAATCAAGATGTGCTGAAAGAAACTCTTACATTCTATTCTACTAGGCAGTTTTCTGTTTATCAGCTATTATTTGATAATAAACTATTAGGAGTTAATGTACAAAATAAGCTGAGTATGAAAATTTTCTTTCTTGGTAGCAATGCTCATTTAAGGAGTTCCCCTCCTGTTTCTGCACTGCTGCTCTCAGTTGTTGCACGAGGACAGAGCACAACTATAATAGTGAGCAAGGGTGGGCACAGAGCCCAGAAGGAAAAGGTGGACTTCCATTGCTGTCGAGAAAAAGATACATGAAATTGTACCTTTAAATTTACATATCTATATTGCAAACAAAAAGTAACCTTAAATCAACAGCAGATGTTATTTTTCAGCTAATTTGTTTGTATGTCATTCTAGGCAGCAAAAGCCTGAAGAATTTCTGTGTAACCTGGATCATCGTGTGTGTAGCCCTGTGTGTTATTTTACCCTGTCAGCTGTTATTAAGAAACCAAGACCGGAACACAGTAATCACAAGGAATAATGTAAGTTCTTACCTGCTTCCATTCCAAAAAAATCCCACCCAAAAATGTCTTGAAAAGTGTCTTGTGTACTCCAAGCCTTAGAGACATTTGGATGATGTTTTCCGTAACGATTTAGAAATCATAAATGTGGCACTATGTGGATATTTTAACTATGGACCATAAATCCCAAAATAAAGAAGTTATAAAATTGTTTCTTTTAGCAGCTTCAGGTGTTTTGGGCTTATTCTGGCCCTTGGGTCATTAGGATGTGCTGCTCTGTGAAATAGCATGTATACATGTTGTGTTTCCGCTTGCGTTAAATACTGGAGGCATCCATGTAGAGACTACACAGTCACAAGTGAAATCAATAGAAGTGGAAAATTACAATTGTACCTGCTGCTGCTGTCATTTCAGCAGGAAAGTTCACAGGCTGTTCTAGCACTTTTATGGCCTTCATACTAATGCCAGTAAAATAATTGTAATCCAGCAACAGTGCCCAGCAGGGAAGCAGCTTATTTTCAAAACACAGCTAGAGTGAGAAAACTAACAACTCTTAAACTGTGAAAAATGAGTATTTTGCCTTCTCCAGACAGGATGATTCATTTTTTTTAGTGGCCTTAGCTACAGTTCTTAGTTTTGGTTTGAATTATTGTACCCAGGCTTTTTTAGCAGGACTGGATTGATATTAGTGTCGTATCCTAAAGCCCGGCACTCATTTTGATCTCGGTCATGGCTATGACGCAGCAGCGTGCATTGTTGTGAGATAAAGATTAAACCCTTTCTAGCCTTCTTTGGTCATTTGAAAAGCAGCACTGAACTGCTTTGAAAGGAGTTCTGTCCAGAAAATCAGCCACTGGACTCTCAGTTTAATCCTCTGAAATGCCTGAAAACATTCTTGCCAAAATATATGTACCTTTCTTTTTCAGAGCTCTCTTGATATGATTGAAATGTCAGGCTTCATTTGCGGCTATATATCCTGTGTGTTTTACTTGGGAAGCAGATTTCCTCAGCTTTATAAAAATGTAAGTAAGTAGGTTTTTGGCTAAGTACACTTGTATATTTTACAAAATACTCTCTGTTGCTTGAAATGTTGGATTCTTGAACTCAAAGGTCTACTTTCCTTTTGTGGGTTTCTCAAACAGTAAAGAAAAAATGGGCATCTTTTCCCATTCAGAGGAGAATGGTGAGAATTTTAGGAAAATTATGGTCTTTGATAGAAGAGGATTGATTGGCCAGGGAAGAGAAAGTGTTTACAGTTGGATTTTTCAGCTATGAGCAGAAACATGCTTTGTGTGATTGTTGTCACGAGCAAGTGATATCTCCCTTTTTCCAAACTATTCTACCTTAAGTAACCAACCACAGGACCAAAAGTTAGAATTAGAGGAAAATTAGTTTAGAATTTTAGCCCCTTTTCACAAAGATGCCGTTGCTGATCTCTCCCTCCCCGCCCCGCAGCCTATTCACTATCAGTATATTAAAAAAAACAACTGACTGGTAGAGCAAAATAAGAGCTAAATATCATTTGGAAGCAGATAATCCTTGCTGCTTTGCATTTACATAAAAATTACATCAACCAAAGCCCCTTCTACGAACTGTAACAATTTCTGTAGTTTTCAGTGATATTTGCTGAAAGCACTAAGGTTGGAGGATTCAGAGCCCAGGAAGAGATGGATAAGAATGACTGAAACTCTTTGGATGTGTTATAGTACAAAATGCCAAAAGTTGTCTAAACTGACTACTGTGTTTTAACATTTCTTTGTATTTGCAAACTTCTTTGTGTTTAGTTCCGAAGAAGATCCACAGAAGGCACCTCTTACCTGCTGTTTGCATTAGCCATGATGGGAAACTGTACGTATGGACTGAGCCTGGTTTTGAAGATGCCAGCTACTGAATCCTTCCGGACCCTCTACTTTTTACACCATCTTCCATGGCTTATTGGGAGCTTTGGAGTTTTGTTTCTAGACATTTTTGTATCCTTTGCCTGTTGTAGCTAGAGTTTCTCAGGATAGGCTTGCTAATAAGTAGATTGGAAATTCTGGATTTTTTTTTAAAATCAGGATTTTTTTTTTCTATAATTCTAATCTGATTATAAAATCTTTTTTTCTGAACAATCATTTGTATGCTTTTTATAATTATATTTCTTGATAAGAACAACAGGTTTATAGAAAATATCTATATTAAAGCTACATTGCACAGCTTAATTTATATCTTGTAGCCAATAGCTAGTTTACTAAAATTTGGGGAGGGCGGATTGCGTATTGTGCTGTTTTTCTTAGGTTTGCTGTCTGATAAATGTAAAAAACCTACAAAAATTCCAAACAAACAAACAAACCAAAACAAACCCCAAATCTGCCTGTTTTTAAATGCAGATGTAGAATTATAGCTTTGAGAATTTGGTTAAATTGTTAAGTGTTACTGCTAGATTGCATTAACGTCAGAGACAAACAATGAGGTTTTGGCAAACTTAGTTTTAGAAAATAGCGCTTAACAAAGAAATGCTGCAGCTACCCTTAACTACATAGTTTGGGGCAAAATCAGATGTGTTGAGACACTGAGTGCCTCTGAAAACCAGCAGCTGTGCTGGTGGAGACATGCTAAGGGCCAACCAATACACAGTTATCTAGATTAGTATGCCAGTTTCTTGAAAGTCTTGAGCAAACTTGTAACGCTATAATTTTTTTTACTCTTATATTCAGGGGACATACATAAGATGCCCACAGTATATTGGTTATTGTTAGTCCTGTTCTCCTAGATTGAGCGTTAGCATTTTGTGATCAAGAAATTGAAAGCAAAATGTTTAGAGTAATATTTTACTTCTGCTTTAGAAGCCTAGCGAACAGGAATAGGGTGGTACTTAGTCTTACTGTTCATTATAGGTTCACAGTCACCTGTCGTTGTTACTATAGCTTGTATTTTCACTTAAAAGAGTGTAAAGAGGAGCCTTTCTGATTTTTGCTGAAGTAAGAATTTTAGCTTTGTGTCTGAAAAGATCTTGGTACTTAGCCCCGTGAACTCAAACTATAAAACAGGATAAAATGAAGAGTGATTTCAGGACCATGCTGAAGCATATTGTGTTAATCCGTTCCATATTAAAAGGAAGTTCTTTACCAGATTTACCTGGAATGGTTCCAGAAGTTATGATTCCCAGGCATCAGTCTTGTCTTTCTGATTAAAGTAATTTCATAATCCACTCCAATTAGACAAGGGATGGGACAGCTGACCCTGGCCTTTGGATGGACAGTTAAATTATACTGTCATTCAGAATAGCCATCTGTGTTTTCTGCATCTCCAGCCATGGCGACTTAAGTGGGCAGTTTAGTAAAACATTCTGCATCGTGGGAAGACAATCCTTCACTGCAGTGGTGAGGCTAAACTGTGGTTCGTGGCCCGTTTCGAAATACATCGTAGTTCTATCTTTTATGAGATAATTCAGTTTCTTGTGCATGAGCAGACTGCAGGGTTCAGGGTTGATAGCCCATGTGGCTGCTTTGAGCACTCGGGCCATTTGTTCTGTGCACGAAGTAGTGACTCTTTCTTCCAACCCAGCTGGAAACATAAACCAGCCAGTATTTATTTACCCAAAACCCCTTAGAATTTGATCTTGATGACCCTTACTGTACATTCTGTGCGTATTTGCAGATGCTTTTCTATGATGTACTCTGAAAAGGAACTTTTATATTGGCCACAAACCTCCCCCCTCTCTGAGCCCTGCCCCAGGATCGTGGTGCCAGTGTGCACATGACATTCATTTCTGGGTTCTGTCTTGATTGGAGTCTGAATCCAATCTTGCTAATAGTCCTCCAGTTCAAATTATATTGAAAACAGATGCTTCCAAATCAGGTTGAGGAGCTTATAGGAATCTAGTCAAGTATATAGTGTTAGTTGAAAATGTATGAAGTATTTGTAATCAAGAGAAAACAAAAGCAGACCTCCTGCTTTGAGAAGCCCTGAAGGTATGGAAGTCAATGCTTTTAAAGAGAGCTTCATTACTGTCTCTTGCCAAGCAAGAAAATAAAAAATCTAACAAACTGATATGTCATGTTAGACCAGAAAACGAAGAACAGGATCAGCTGGGTTTTGGAAGACAGGAATTAAACCAAAAAGTCATAATTTTGAAGGGGGAGGTGTTTTGTAATTGATCATTTGTGTAACATACAGTCTTTGTTTTGAGGAGTAGTTGCAAAAATTGTCTAATTCTAGTAGACCTTGTTCCTGATAGTGTCCAGAGTTTCATTAGGTGGAAAATAAACTCTCATTTCTCAAGGTCCAAGCAAGGATTAAGAGTTCACTTGCTCTGTGTCTGCGGCAGTATTCTTTCACTTCCATCTGACACGGCTGGCATTGACTATTTTTAGAAACAAATGGACTCCTGATCATAGCTGGAACAGCAGCTCCAGCATTACTTAGTGCAGGATTACACTGGAGTTGTTTCGGCTCAGTTTAACAGGATAACATGGTCATCCTGTTTCCTTGGTGTCTACAGTTAAAGCTGTTTGGTTGCACAATAAGCCAGTTATTTTCGATAAATAATGGAAGTGGCTGATTGTTTGTAAAGTATGAATTGTCCTCCTTTTCATTTTAAGAGGAGTTTCATAGCTTTGCACATTTGAATTGTAAATTGGACATGATTTTCTTTTCCAGTAAGTGTTTCCTTCCAACTGCTGCTTTGCAATAGAGGTGGTTGGAGTTTCTCAAGAAGCCACAAAGCCCAGGGTTTAAAAGAGCCTGATAGGGTGCCTTCTCCATCAGAGAGGCTAAGACTGGATTTGCCTGCTGTAGGGATCCCTGGTGAACCTTATTAGAGCTTCATTTTACATGCATGATTACTTAATGTTGCACTTGTACACAAGGATGCAATACTACATACTCTAAAATCAGTTGATGGCCAGTTCTGCCCTTAGTAGCAGCTGCCATCACCAAGTTCCTAAGAGACTGAATCTAGTGCAACTTTTTCCAGAAAATGTTGTCCTTTTCTGTAAGTTTACTACCCTCTTTTCACCCTGCTTCCTTCTCCCACCAAAACTAAACAACTCTGCTTTGTATTTAGTTCTGACAAAGCCCTTTACCAAGATTTTTTTGCCCTTTTTTTTTTTTTTTTTGACACCACCCGATTGTCAGTGAACTGTGTTCAAATCCTCCGCATGTATTTCTTTTCATTAAGTGTAGCCAGGTTGTTACTAGATAGCCAAAGTATATTGAGCAAGAGCCAAGCTGTTGTACACAGACTCTTCTCTTGCACCTTTTGTGATTTGCAGGGGAACCACTTGGAATCTATTATATACCTCTACAAAACATCATGCTTTGTAATTTAATTACACTCTGCAAAGAATGTGTCTGACCTGACGGTTCAGCCAGGAGAGTTTCCCAGCCAAACATACAACTTCTCTGCACTCCTGTAAATACCCACTTTTGTCTCAAAACGCTTTCATTTTTTTGAATTATTATTAAATTGTTTAATTTAATGAGACAAATTTGATACATTAGCTCAGTGGCTGACATGAACTTTACTCTGAGAAGCCAGTTTGGTTGTCTCCTCCACTTTGGGCTGTCTGCATGCTTAGGTCTTAAAGTTTCCCCCAAAAAGTCAGACTTGAGCATCAAGTTAGTTTTTATACTAAGTATTCTTGGCAGTTCAGCATTTATTTAAAAAATATGAGCAGCTGAGTACATATGCTACAAAAACATCTTCTGGAAATACTCTTTGATAAGCTCCACAGAACTTGTGTTTGTAATTTATTCCTCTTGGAAAGCTGTGTTGCTGTTGCCAGCTTGGTGGCTGAGAGAGATACTGCACCGTGCTACAGCCCAGGCTCGTCCCAAGCCCACAGTGTGATTTCAGCAAATTTAGCTCCCAATTCACAGTGTCTTTTTCCACAAGTGCAACTGTTAATGCTTGGGGAGCTGCTCAGCTGAAAGTACAGTAAGGCCTAGAAAAAAGAAAAAGAGAAAATGGCAGGAAATTTAAGTGGTAGCTTTATATGCTATAAAACTAATTTTCTAAGCTCTGAGAAGAAAGCATTCTGCACATAATACTATAGAAAGCCTCAAAAAGGAGCACTGACCTGCTGTCTCTGAAGGAAATCCTGTCTAGGCTGTAGTTGGGGGGCCTCAGAGGTGGGATGCTGGAAAGCTTTGGGAAGGTCGGATAATCCTTGGGGCTCTGCCTAGGATGTAGAGAATTTCCTCTCCATTCATCCAGGCCTCCCAGAAAGCTTATTTTTTTTCTCTCCTTACTTTTCTAAATAATTACATACCTTAGCCTCAAACTTCTCACAACCATTGTCTGCCAGCCAAGTTATTTTAACTGATCTAAAGTGTTCCTGGTAGAATTCTGTAGATCAAATTTCCTCCCAGAGAAACGATTTCATTTTTTAAATGGGATTTTACATGTAACAGTAGTGGTGATCCAGGCTCTGTGAAAGCTGAACATATAGGACCATACATTGGATTTCGTAGAAGGTACCCGGGTGTACAGGTGGCCGCTTGTTTCTACACCACGTGCCTTTAAACATGCTTTCATGCAGATCCTTATGTGGGAGGCTCCCTGCTTGGCCTCATCTACTACACCCACCTAATGTCCTTCTCAGATCTCTCCTGTCCCTTCTAGATGCCCACCTCAGATTTTTTTTATTTTACTTATTTATAGGCTATCTGTGCTCAAAGTCAATAATTTTGTTTGCAAGCTGGAACCATCAAGAAAGATGACAAGTACATACTTGTTAATTCTTTTTAGATTAGTGGTATTTCTGATGGTCTGTTTTACAATAGAAATAAATAATTATGTCTAATTGCACAATTCTGTGTTGAAAACAGCATTAACTATTGAGTCATAGTGTTGTCTGTGTGTCAGTGCCTGTAAATATCAAACCACCTACAATTTTTGCAGGAAATTAGAATTTTGTTTTCTCTTCAGGTCCTGCTGATCTATTGCTAAGGAAAGTTTTTAATAACTTCCTCTCCCTCAGCCCAGCCTGTAGTGTTTAGACCCCTGGGGCTGGAGTAGTACAGGGCAATATGTCTGATTCCACGCTGTTCCTAGGTGAACGTGCCTCTAACTCATGATTTTCACATTTAGGACCCTTGCAAGCGCGAGGATGAGGAAGTAAAGGATGTTTTCATGTGTATTTGAGCCATGTAACCAACGAGAGCTGAAGTTTTGAGTTAGAATTTTTCTGTATGTTCCCTTTTCTGGTGTTGCCAGTGAAATATGATTGAACTTTTTTGCCATAAAGAAGTACTGAAAATGAGCGTTAAGTAGGATTTGGAAAAGGTTATATGCTAATGTAGAAGATTCCACAGTCGGGATTAAATAAATGGATAATACTTACACTATGGTACACAAATTAGACACAGCAAGTTTTAAGCTTTCCTCTGCGGACTGTGGTATTCAGCGTCCGTGCCAGAACTAAATGGATGGCTGCTTTTATTCTGTACGGCTTATTTTGGGTTTAATTGAAAGCAAGTACTGCAAATGCTACCTCTGTGTCCTAGTTAATTACTTCCTTACCCCAAAATAACAGGTGACGGTGCAATTCATCCTGTACCGTCAGCAGGAGGGAGGACACTCTGGTTTAGTGGTGCTGGAGGTGGAACCGTTGCTGGTGGACCAGGAGGCTGAGTAGTGTCGAGCTGGATTCTGCTCCTAGCTTCACTGGGTTTTGCTCTTGGATGACTTTGTCAAAGGGTTGCTTGGGGACCAAATTCATTACTTGCTTTTTATTATTTATTTTGTCATTAATGTGTTGTTACTTATTTGCCAATGACGTGCCAACAATAAAATATTTAATATTTACTGTGGTGTTTCAGGATAGATAATATTTTTTTCCCTGATTTTTTTTGTTTTTTTCCCCTCCCTGATTTTAGCTGTTTCTCTCCAAAGTGTGATATGGAGTCATAGCAATAGCTGCTGTAGAAATATTTATGTGACACAGTGCGTATCGTGGGATGACTATTTATTTTGAGATGAGCGTGTACATCTAGTCAACAGTAGCGTGGCCGGTTTAAAAGCAATGGGCGAGATTCCCCCTGTGCCCTGAACCCAGCCTGGAGTTATGGATTGCTCCGTCCAGGTGCATTATATGGTAGATTTGGCCTTTTTTGTTCATAATCAATTTTGTATGCATCAGAAGAAAAAAAATCCTGTAATTAAGTTGCTTCAATGCAGAGGATCCGTTATTGATGCAAAAAAGCAGAATCCTGGTGGAAGTTGGTGGGAGCCTCGTGTACATCTCACTGCAGAGTGCCACTGTGCATTTTATTTTTAACTGCTAAAGCATTTATACATCAATACCTGTGTGTTCCAAGGTTTATAATTGCTGTATGTCATCATATACCTCACATGGTGTTTTTGTCCAACGTGATTTTATTTGCAAGTTTCTGGTTTAGATAAATACCGCAGAGAAAAGAAATATTAGAAGCTGAGGAGACTGTACCTGGCAACTGGGGGGTTTTTTGCAAAACTGTGTTGTGTTTGAATACAACTTTAATAAAATTATCTCAAAGAATAAACTTGTTAATATTAAATATGCGTATAACGATTCACTTGTTAATAAATAAGTTTGTGAAAAAGGGGCTGTTTTTTTAAACAGGTCAGTATGAAGATTTTGTACATTCGTGGGCTCATCGTGGAGCTCCTTCCCTTTGATTTCAGATAATTTTTAAAGGGAAATGATTGAAATTTTATTTTGAAATAGTAGAAACTAATAAATAATGAATTTACTTTTAAATAATAAAAGGAACAAATGCAATTTGTCTTATCTAAATAGATGCCAAAAGTGCACGCTAGAAGTGAAGCATTTTTCTCTAAAATGCTGAGGGTTTGGGCAGGACCTACCCCATCGAAGTCGGTTCCTTCATTAGTCTCTGCGTGTGCTTAAGGCAAAGGTGCCTTCCCTGGTTTCTGGAGCGAGTGGAGGGGGTTAGAAGTTAACCTTTTCAGTACATAAATTGAAATGCAATTTGTCAGATTTATACGCTGTACACAGGAGATTATCAAGCTCTTGCCTGGCTGGTGATTGAAACCATGACTTGTTACTTTTTAATGCAGTTAGAATTTGTCCTGCAAAGATTATTTCCCTTTTTGTTGCTATATGTAATCCTATTTTGGGATGTCTCTTTATCCCCGTTTCATACTGCTGTTTGTAAGAACAGCTAAATATGGGGTATATAAAGTTACTGTGATTTAATTTGAGACTTTCAATGGAAAATAATTTAACTTTTTAAATGTGAAGCAATGGTAGTTATTTACTGATAGTTCACATACATGGAATATTTAGTATATGGGTTAAGTGAATACTTACACTTCGGAAAGCATTATTTCCAATTAGTTATTTGACTGCAAGAGCTGATCAAATACCTTAGTTGTCCTGGCCGTTCCCTATCGCCTATTAGGACGTAAGGTCTTGGTCACCCCTTTGCTCAGCCCACAATTATTTCTGAGGACCAGACCCTGCCATGTCAGAGGGAGGTCGAGCCGTGCCCAGATACACCAGGTTGGACACTAAAGGGCAGATCCTGATCACCTCTTTGTTAATCTCAGACAGGAAAATACGGCACGTAGCTTCTATCACAGCTACTTTGCTGGAAAGCAAAGTGTCTTAATCTTCTCGCTTTGTGCTACTAATTCTTCCCTCGTGCTGCATGTAATCCAAGATTAACGGCATTGTTTTCTAATTTTATTTTTTAAACTATCATGGAAATCTCATTAACTAAAGGAAACATCTAACAGGTCCTCGGGGCTTTATTTTTAAACAAATTAATAAAGTAATTTAGCTAACGTAGTTCTCCATCTTCCACAGAAGGTTGTCCCAGGAATGGAGTTATTCCTGGCCATTACACATCAGTTTCGATCACTTGTTTCCATAAGAAAAATAGGTACGTAATTCGTTGCTTCTGACCATCTCTTGGAAATTAATTTTTTTTCTAAATTTGTGCGTGTATTCTCACTGACAAAACATGTGTTAATCACCTAAAGGAGAGAAAGTTGGATCATCTAGCAAGAAGCAGAGCCCAGCCCTTGCTCCCCATGCTTGGATGCGTGGTGAGTACCACCAGGCAGTGACACCGTGGGCACCACGATGAACCATGGGGATGCACCCAGAGGTGCCTTGGCAGCTCTTCATGGATCCAGCAGGTCCAGATCCATCCCCTGAAAGCTCCTCAGCACTGCAGCAAGAGCTGCTCCAGCTTCTCCAACTCCCAGCTCGTTGAGAGTCTCCCAGCCTTTCATCTGGCAATTGTGGGTTAATGGGCCCCATCACCACCAGGAGAGGTAAATCCAGCCACTGCTGTGGTGGGTTTTAAGGAAATGTTAATGGCAGTAGGGTTGATATATGAATATTAATACAGTGTCCATCCACATGGGTGCTTGCTAGAGGCTGCTGAAAATGTATAGTATGGAGACAAGGCATTGATTCATATTGTGATGAGGGGGGTCGCTGTAATGCGCTCCAAACAGCTCTTAAATAACGACTGTGGAGGAATTAAGACCAGTTTAATCTGACTAAATAATACTCCTAATGATAAACCATTAAAATCAAGTTGACTTTTTGATTCTAGCAATTGTATCAGACAAGGTGATTACACTCAACATCAGTATTGATAATCATTAAAATAGATTAAACTATTGACTGAGACACAAGAAACGCTGGTTGACTCCGGCACAAGTGGTGGTTTGACTTTACAGCAGGGCCCCTCCTGCTCCCTGAAGCTTCTCACTGCTACATGGAGATTCAGGCAGGTACCAGTTACTGTTCTTTATGAGCACCACATGCCTCAAAATTATCACCTATTTTAGCAGCACACTTGCTGCCTGATGGATTGACCGTAACGCAGGAGCTTGGTGTTAAAAATATCCTCCTTATCAAGGAGAGAAGGTGCTTTGCAAGTGGGGAGAATGAAGGATGCAGAAGAGTTCTTGGGCACGTTGGAGGAGAAATTGCTCAGGGTTCAAAAAGGCTTCTTGGAAGCACAGTGTCCTGCTCCAGAGCTGTCTGCAAGCAGCCTTTGAGTGGGTGCTTTACCCTCCGGCGGTTGCTGTGACGCAGCCTGGCCGTACTCGGGGCGCTGGGGTGAAGTGTGGCTGCTGGTTTGCTGTGGGGATATTGAACACTCGCTTCTCTGTGCCTTCAATTGCAAAGGGCTTTTTAAAATTGATTACCGGCCTGGCTCAAGTTATTGTATGATCCTGTAAATATAGAGAGAAGATGGGCATTTTATGATGTCTGACTTCCCTACAATATTTTTTTATTAAGTAAACTGTAATGGAAATATTGGGTTTTCATTTCTTGCTTGCTTCTTCTCCAACAATTGCCAGTAAATCAAAGTTGCAAAAAGCCATCTCTCCCTCTGTGCTGGCAGACCTAACGGCAGCCTGGTGGTCACTTACTTTTGGAAATGATATCACCTCATTTCTAGGCACTCAGCAGACTTCAGTGCTGATGTATTGACACTCGCAGCTTTCAGAGAAGGAAATCGTGGAGGACAGCATTTCCAGCAGAGAAATGCCCATATTTTACAATAAGGACTGCCAGTTGTAGTTACGCCAATTCACTGGGATACGAAAGTGCCACGCTTAGGAAGCAAGCAAGTATTTCTTCCTCTCTTCTACTAGCATCTCTGCTTGTTTACATGTCTCCACGCTGGGCTCAAGGCACCTCTCCCATCACACATCTAAGGACCTACAGCTGGCTGTTTTGACCCTTTTTGTAGCACGGGCTCGTTTGACTTGGCCCTGGACAAATGTACAGAGTCGAGCACATCTCTAATCATTAATTTGGAGATGAGTCCTGCAGTACAGCCTTGTCCCTCAGTGCTCTCCCTGGGCTGCAAGCAAAAACTCATACAGAAGGAAAGTTTAAATGCTGAACGTAGATGTTTTTTCTGCCTTTCTGTGTCTGTTTTTTTAAGTACGAAAGCTGGAAGCTTCCTACAAGTCCTAGGGTGCTGCAGCCCTCTCTTGTTTATCTGTTTATAGTGAAGAAGAAAGAAACGTGTGATGTAGGATGAAATGGCAACGAGCTGTTGAATCACTGGCAGCTGCAGGGGCAAAGCTGTGAGCTGGACCTCGCTCCCCTCAGCCCAACCACACCACCGCTTACAACGGGTTTATTTTGTTGAACCAAAGCTGTAGTAAAAGTGGTTCCTTCCGCTTCTATCCTGACTCTTTGGTTTTCTCCTACATTTCCTCATCCCTGCCCCGTGCTGCGATGCCGGGCTGAGCCGTGCTCCTGTGACACCTCCTTTTAAACATTTGTAACATCATAACATCCTCACCATCACTTAAAACCAGAAAGAAGATGGCCCTGATTTAGCCCCGGGTATATTTCAGGATACATGCCTAAAGCGACTCTCCCTCACGCCCCTTTCATTTCCCTTTGTAGTGTTTGAGGACAACTGCAGGGCGAATCCTTCATCCTCAGTTGATCCTCAGCGCTTTATTACACGTGTCCTTCACCAACAAGTACATGTCCCTTGTCCACCCTTGCTGCATCACTCCAGGGGACCTGGTGCCTCCAGCGGGCGATGGTTGGGAGGTGGCAGAGGGCTGGGAGCCCCACAACATGCTGGGCTGGCTGGGGCATCGCAGCGTGCCCGGTAGGATGGAGCTGCGAGCCACGTCCCAACCCAGACGGAGCCGTTCCCACCAGATGGAGCAGTTGCCGTTCGGTGCTGCTGAGCTGTGGAAGCCTGAGGGGCTGCATCCCCCGGCCCCCTCACAAATGACCCCGCAGGCACCCCAGCCCATCTCCACTTTGCTCCCAGGGTGTAAATCTGGAATAGAAATCCCAGAGCCGTGAGAGCCGAGCTGGAGCCATGCCTCCGATTTGGTTCTTTGCTTTGCTTTTTGGCAGGTCCTCAATTTTCAAATGTTTCTAAGCCTCTGTCCGTGTTTTTTCTAAGTTTGCAGTATGGGCTGGGCACAGAGGGCTGGTGCTCTTTTAGCAAAGTGCCTCTTTTCACCTCGTTTAGCCAAAATGCCAAACAGGTGCTTAAAAATCGCTCAACACTTTAAATTAAAGGTGCCCTAACTGTGGATCCAGGTGTGCCTGTCCCAGGTGAGAGCAGACAGCGTGCTGCCCGTGCCACCCTCCCCACCGAGGTGCACAGATCTGGCATGGACAAGGGCTACCCGCCTGGGGCCACGGCTGGTTTGTGACCCGGTGGGTGCGTTCCCCAGAGGAGCAGCAAGTGGGTAAGGAGAAGCACCTTGGTGATGCACCGAATAACCAGCCACTGCTTCACAGGGTCCATGGTGACCATATATTTGCAAAATAATTGTTGTCTTTTATTGGTTGTTCCCCAGGAGAACAACCCCTGATGTTGGCTCCATGCATATCACTGACTGGTACCTTCATGTTCTGCTGCAATGGGAGCAAAAACCTGTTCAAATTACCAAGCTTAGAGCTTCTTGACTTTGCTTTGCTGTTGCTTTGAAAAAATTCTTCCCAACCCATCTGGCCTTCTTGCAAGAGTTGCACATTGCCATGGACTGGCGATGCCTTCTGCCTGCATGCTGGTACTTT